GGGGGGGGGGGGGGGGTAAAATTCGTGTTTAATCTCAAACAAGAGGGATAAAAAAACCTAAAAATACCCGTAGGTACTCGGGACAGTGGACGGAATAAACCTGAGACACTGGTGTTTACATTCTGGGTATTGAATCATTATCGGTGACCAGGGGGAATCAAGATTATTTTCCCCGTCTTCACTTACGAACCCGCGGGTAAAAAGAGAGCACAACCTCGGGGGGAAAAATAAAAGAAACGATTAAGAATCTCTGGAATTCGCGGCATCGTATCGAGCGCACTCTCCCCCCGCGGGCAATTCCAGTGATCGAATCAAATCCGGAAGTGGAATCTTCTCAATCCCATCATTGCTATTGTATTCACCCCTAGTTCCGGTCTCCCACGGGTCTCAAACCGCACTTTGAAGCACCTTAATAACAGCCTCACGTCCCAAAACACTCGAATCACGCAAGCGCAATTGCCCTCCCCCGTCTCGAAGCGCGAAAAGCTCTCGGGAATTTAATTCAATCGTGCAACAATAGGATGCACCCCTCGCGCTGGCCGCAGGTGTCAGAGGGTCCCCCCCCCCACCCCGNAGGTGTCAGAGGGTCCCCCCCCCACCCCGTTCACCTGATTTCCCCCCGGCAAAAAAGCCCCTCAAAAGTGGATTAATCGTTTCATGAATAAAATAATTGCTCACCCTTTTGCGTCCAACCAGTCGGTTTATTCCCTTTGACCAGAAAATAAAAACAACACAGATTCAATCACTGGGATGCACTCGTGCTCGAGATCAATCCATTTTTCGACATTTTTAGTCGTTATTCCTCGCTTTAGTCCCGCGTGCGAGGGAATTTTAGCGCTTGCGCTTAATTATTTTGAACTTGTGCCGATTATTTTGATTTTATCGGGGGGGGGTGCACTTTTTGGGGGTGAATTTGGGGTTTTTTATGTGAATGCTTTGCTCTGGTGGCGTCCACTCTGGCGTGTGCACTGGCGTCTGGCGGCGCGGATTGCTGGAATGCAGACTGACGGGTTTCGTTGCCGCGCCACGGGAGGCGAGCTCGACTGTCCCTGCCTTTTGCCTTTGGACTTCTATTCTCGATTGAAGGCCCGGGTTCGGCTTTTATGGTACCCCACGGGCATGACGTCACGGATGACCACGTGACCGGGGATTGAAGGTTTTGGAAAGGTTGAGCGAGGTTTTTGGGGAGGTTTCTGGTCCTGGGAGGGGGAATTTTTTATTTTTTTTATGTGAGAGCTGAGATTTGGGGGTTTTGGGGGTGACGGCGCAGGGGGGGAGGGTGATTTTTTGGACGGTGATGCCGGGGGATTGGAGAGGTTTCATTGGCCGGGGAGAACCAATGGGGCGTCCGGGATCACCCGCGACCTTCGACTCCCGGGACGATCCTCCTGGCGCCGGCTCTGGTCTTCAAGTTGAATACAGATTGCGAAGGGGCTCTTTTTGGCTGGAGTGCAGGTGATTTTGCAGGCTAGTCTCGTAGGGGCACTGCGCATTCGGTGATATAATAGGATATGACGGGGACGCTCCTTTTGGGGAGGTGAGGCGCGGATTTGGTGAACGGGGGTTTGAGTTGGGGATTGACTTTGGGAGGTTGAGGTGGGCTAGGGAGCAGTTTTGGATGCTCTAGTGTTTGCGGGGCTTTTGGATGATTTGGGGGATTTTCGGGGGGTCAATGAGAAGCTTAAATGGGATCTTCCACTGGCGAATATTCCGGTGCGCTGATAGAAAAATTATTTTTATTGAGATGGTTGTTTCTTGGGAGAAGTGTTATGTACTTAAAACAGTTGTAAATAAATAGATCTTATGGTGAATGTCAATTATTTCTTCTTGAGATACGTTTACTTGAATCAAATGAAATAGGACCTGGCGTCAGGTCGCATGTATTCACCGCAAAAATGGAAAAGTTGGATTTTTTTTTTAACTAATATAATCTCAAGTCGAGAAATTTTCTACTTTCATGAATTGATAAAAAAATCGTACCTAGGAGATGATTAAGTTGAGGAATGATTGAATGTTGTTTTCTCGAATGAAGCCGATGTTTAGATTGAGCTTTCCGTACATCACATTGAACGAAATTTGTGATATCCAAGTTTGTGTAGAATTACCGTAATCTGTGATTCTGTTGTTGTAAACTAATGCGATTTTTTTTAGTCAAGAAATATAAACTTCTTTCAAATCAACATCTTACTACAATCTCAAAGCTTTTTCCGCGTAACAATATTCATCCTGATTCGATATACGAAATGCTCACTTCAATTATAATTTAATTGGAACAACGTATGATCGTGTTGATTGAGATAACAACGTGTTTAGTCATGAGAATAATTTTGATTTTTGAGTAAACCAACGAATTTCTGGAGTTGGTAAACTTTTGGCTGGAAAGAAATCAAATAGTCTCATTATTGCGACAAATAAAAGGTACTTCAATTCTAGAGAAGTTCGATTTCTCGCAATCAAATGTATCTCAAGAAGAGATAACTGATATTCACTATGAAATCATGGTTATTCGAAAATTAACAACCAAGTGATAGTTGGTCCAAATAAAATTCTCCAGATGAAATTAATTTTTTCAGTCAGTGTAGTTTTAATTCTCTGCATAATATAATTCAAATGACGATGATTATCCATGAATTTTTCCAAATTTTTTATTGAAATTTCTTAATAAAACAATTTTAAAATTAAATCCATAAGAGCCCGTGCATAATAAAAATTCAATTCACTTAATTTCGTTGAAGTCATTGCGTTTTATTTCCAAAACATTTTTGTTTCTTCGTCAGCTAAAAAAATTCTTTTTGAAACATATAAATATCCTCATGTAGGGATCTAAAAATGATGAATATCTAAAATTTAGAGGTGAAAAAAAAAATAGGTAAATCAACCATAAATAAAAACGCCAACAAAATTAATAATAAATACAGTGATGTTTAGTATCGTTTAGATAAAGTTCTGTTTTCTGTAATTACAGCCTAAAATATTACACTCAAAGTTGTATATAAGCAAGGCCAAAAACTTAACAAACATTTTACAATGTGATTCGTTTCGAAACTAAAAATATAATATAGTAATAAATGTAGTTGTAATTAACCAATAATTACGCCAACAGAATAGCTTTGTTTTTCGGAAAATTGTACAATATACATAGGTCTATGTATAATATATAACACTATAATGCTACAAGTTATCAGAAAGAAATTAAAAATAATGGGGCATTGGTGTTTTTTCTCGTCATAAGTTTCGTTCTTTAATTTTCATTAATATTAATTATCAATAACTTTTTCTTCATTCGGTTTGGCACAATGTCATAGCAACTGAAGCAAATGAAACACCGTGTGGCATTTTGATTGTCCGTGGCTGGGTGAATCGCTTTCATATATATTTATATTCTCTGCAGTGTTCTTGTTTCTTCACTTTTTCATTTTGTTCTTTTCGTCAATAATTTGTTATCGAGGGAGTCATCACTTCGAAGAAAATTGTACACTGGATTTCAAGAGATTTCATGGAATGTCTAGAATTTTATAGGAATTTCAAATGATTTTTAGAGAGTTTGACAACATTTTGAGGAAGTCTAGATAATTTAAAAACAGTGGATTAAAATTTTTGTTTTTGCGAAAATTTCAAAAGAATTCATCAAATTTTTATGAAAAATATTCGAATGTTATATGGAATCTGTGGATGTTTATGATAGGAAAAATAAATAATTTGGATGGATAATACTTATGAGAATATTTTTGTGAGCGATTAAACTTTTTTTTGTTCATGTATCTGTTCAGCAAACGCTGTCTCAGAATATTCTAATGATTTTGGAACGAGATTTCAATAAATATCATGTAATTCATGAACCCCTCCACAAAAGTTGAAGGAACTCCTTCAGATTTCATTAAATTCCTATAAATTTCAAGATTTCCAGAGAATTACACTGTTAAAAATTTTTCACTGAAATTTCCGGTACACTTTTCGGAAATTCATATCATATTTTAGTTCAGCTGACATTTCAAGGAATTTTGTCACTGAAAATTGAGAATTTCATGAAAAATCTATGACAACTGTGAATTTAACTTCAATTATTCCCTGAAAATTAATAGAAATCGGGAAAATTCCGATAAATATGTTCTTGAATTTTCAATTAATTAAAAATTAATCGCCATGAGGCACTGAATTCATGATTTCATCCAAAATTCAAACAAGTTGAGGAATTCTCATTCCTATTCTGTTAAAAAATTTAGAATTTCACTAAATGTTCTGTGAAATCTGTAATTTCATGATTTTTTCCGCCTCATATTGCATTCAGTAGATAATTGAAAATTCATCCCAACGAGACACTGAATATTCATGATTTCATTAAAAATTCAAACAGGTTGAGAAACTCATTTCAATGCTGTTAAAAAATTTTGAATTCCACTACATTTTCAGTGAAATCTGAAATTTCATGATTTTTCCCGCCTTAAATCGTATTCAGTATCATTCTCCTGAAAATTACAACTCAATTGTCCCCGAAATTTCAATTTTTTCCATCATTGTATAAACCAAATCATCAGCGCACCAAATTCCATAAGTGACAACCCCCTCGCCCATTCCCATACAATTGTTGAAGTGAAAATATTCCCTGCTCGCCTCACGTTACCCTACGTCGAACGTAACAAATTGAACATAACCGGCGAGTCAAGTACAATCGTCAATCTATTGAAATATTTCTCTTAAAAAATAATCAAGAGACCAACGATCACTGAGTCTACAAGATTTTTATCATACATATATATAATTCCTCTCCTTATTTATACTATACACGTCTGATCGTTCATCGGACAACAAATTGAGTTCACTTGAAAAAGTACCGGCCGACTAGAGTATTTCATCCGATATCAGATATTACTGGTATATTGCGTGTGTTTCCTTTTGCTTTAGTATTTTCATTTCTGTCTTACATTAGACTATGTCGCTAATTATTAAAATTTTGTTTCTTATCATTTGGTAATTGTTGATTACCGTTGACTTAACTGTTAGCACTACTCATGTTCTAGCTGTGATAATAAACATTGTGGACCGAGCCCGAGTGCGATGGGCCAGGTTATTTCCTACTCAATTAGTTTAGAATAAGCTATTATGGAAGAACAAACCTTCAGCCGCAGCGAACGGACTTACTCTACGAACAAAAGAAAAAAAAATGTTTCTCTCTTCAATGTTAATGTGATGCGTTGATTTTTTCCTCCGTTTTGTCGAGGTTATTGTGTTGTATTGTAGCAGAAGAATATAACAATCATCACTGATTACTCACATCATCAATAAAATTTCAATTCACGGAAAATCGTTATGCCTAGATAAAAATTTGAACATTTATGAGAATAAAACAACAAATAAGACTGTTAAAATTGCTACTGTGCTCGCGTGCATTTGCAATGATAATGCTGAGCATTGAGAATTGAATATATTTTTCCGTTGTGATTCTAAAACTACACATCAGCGAACAATTTAGGAAGAGCTTTAGTCATATCACGCGGGCCAGAGCCCTGTAAAAATATATCCCCTCTCTCCTCGACATCTGACAATTCTTCATTTTCCTCTCTCATTCTCACTATTGTACATGTAGAATATAACTGACGGGATGGGTGAATTGTTTCGCAAAAGTAATCGCACTATTTTATTCTCTCACTCATTGATATTGCCTTCGTGTGGCGCATAAATGTCACCTCGATACTAATATTCTTGTACTTTTTTAAAATTATTTCATCAATTCTAAGAATGAAATAAAGGTAACAAAATCGTTTGTAAGAGCGAGTGAATGAGTTGGAACGAATTGAGAAAAGGAGAAACGTGACGAGGTGCGATTACTTTGAGCGTATCCACTGTGTTGATTCTATTCTACGTTGTACAGCAACAGTTGAGAATTATTTCTTCAACTGGAAAAGCTCTCGCTCGAAGTGAAGTAGAAAAAGGCAAAAAATTATACAACTCTTCTCTCATTTCATTATTATTATTTTTTTCTTGTTCATGCACCTTTTATTCTCATCCGCCGTTGGACTGTGCTTCTCGGCATCTCATTACTGTGCAATTGCTTCGGTGGTATTTGCTGCATGCATGTCATTTTTTCCCCTTTTTTTTTGTTATTTTTGCGTCGTTATTTTCTTCTCAAATATATTATTTAAATTTTCTTCTCTATTCGAATATTATAATTTTCTTCCTCTTTGTCAATTGTATATATCTATACATATCTACAGAAGGGAAACTAATATAGAACTCTATTTATAATTAGTTAAACTCTCTATGAATTAATATGTATAATTCCTCACAACAGGTCTAACAAGATTCCTCAATTTTTTTTCCCCATTGGTTTTCGAAATTTTACACTTCTGTTTCTCCGTCGCCTCTTCGATTCGACGTGTTGATTCTCGAATTTACAATTCACACTTCGGTTTAAATTAATTAACGTCAGACGTAACTCGTGTCAAACTAGTTGATTTTGTTTTATTGTTTTTTTAATTCAGTGCTGCCAAACTATTTGGCATGATCGATTATTTAATTCCTAATTGGTTAACTTAAATTTTTAAATTTTGTTTTTACATCTCCCTCTGCATCACTGCTCACGAGAAAAATACGACTTTGGCCACTTGTGTCAGGGGAGAGTCGGGATTTATTAAAAACGATTGACGGAAAGTAATGGACAACCACTAACCCTTGACTTGTTTGAGATACCTGTTGGTGTCTCCCCACTCTCGCCAGCGTCGCCGTCTCTTGTCGGGAAGACTCGAGTAGTCGTTCGAGGTGGTGCGTCTTTTTGATTTTGAGGGGGACGAGTGGTTCGATGATTTGGGGGGCGGAGGGGGCGAGGGGGGCGGCGAGGTGGCACTCAGGTGGGCCAGGGGGGTCACCTCGTGGTGATTGAGACGGGGACTCGTGCTGTTGTGGGACAGGGCGACACCTGCCAGGTTCAGGAGGGCGTCAGCACCCTCTGCGATCTTTCGTTGCTCGTCCACGTCGGTTACTGAATCCTCTAGGGAGGTCGTGGATCTTTTGCTGGGGATATACATATATTTTGTATGTAAAAATCAAGATTCGTTGTTTATAAATGAATAAGTGAAATTGTTTAAACTACTTCATTAATCTTTCTCCGAAGGCAAACGTTCTAAATTTTTTCAGATTTTTTGATTTTTTTTTAACGCTTCAATATCGAGATTCAAATTCAGACCTTCAAAGTTTGAATAATAAAAGCATTGTAAAATGTCCGGAAACTTGAGAGAAAAATAACCAGAGTACTTGGATTTTGTTAATAAAAAAATCTAGCGAATTCGATAGAATATTCTATTAGAATTGTATTGAATTTTCGATTAGTTTTTGGCCGATTCTATGGAAAAATCATGAATATTCAGCGTCATTCGAATAAAATATTGCACAAAATTATTATTTTTTTAAAGATTCGTTGCTTATAAATGAATAATTTGAATTGTTTAAACTTTTAGAAACCTTATTTTTTTGGCATGAAATCGATTTCTGTTGAAATTCTGAGTATGAATACATTTGTAATGTTTCCGAATAATTGATTTTTATGGTGGAAAATTGATTATTCATAAATTATTCATAGAAAATGTTCGAGATTTTCAAAAATTGCAATTCTTCCTTCAAAATTAAAAACTCAGCTGCACGAAATTTCAATTTCAATTTTTATTTGAATTTCATTTGTAATTTTGAAATTGTCATTTCAATTTTTTCCTCAGCCTTGAGAATTCTGGTTTACATAACTTTGTTTTAATTTCTGGATTTCAATGGGACTAGTGGGGCAAAATGGACACCTAAGTTTTTTTTTGAAATGTTGATAACATGTCGAATTGTGCTTCTCACAGAAATAAATTTTTGAGCGAAATTCCCGGTACCTGAACGGATAAAATTGGAAATATCTCTGAAACTAACGAATTTATCGGAAAATGTCAGAAAATCATTTCTGCAGCTCGTGAAATTCCTTACGAAAAAGATGATGTGACATTTTCTCTTAAACCCAATAACTTTCGAGATATTTTCAAACCGGTAGAAGTGAAATGTCTATTCACCTGTCTGTTTTTGCAGAAGTGATACAACTGTACGTGTGATCCTCACTCGAACTCCTTGTAATCACTGGCACCAATTTCTCCGGCTCGATTGTTTGCTTTCGCTTTCGATCTGCAAAAAGTTCCGAAGGATATTGAATGAAGGATATTGAGATGAATGATGATCGTGATAATTTTATCGCATTACCTTTATTGTGGTTGAGAATAATGGGTCCGTGTTTGAACGAGAGCATGGCGACAGCAGCTGCATCAACATCGCTGTCAAATTCAAGGTCTGGGCTGTCTGTGATATTGCTCGATGCTAACCTCTTCGATAGATAGGGGAAAAGTACGGGATCTGGTAATCTTGTGTTTGTGGTTTTCTTCGGTATTTTGTCGGGTGACGAGAGATTTTGAGCAGTTGGAGGTGGAAAGGGCGCTCGGGAGAGTGCCTGCAGGAGATTCGGGCGATACTGGTCGTCCACCATCCACAGAGATCCCTTTCCCAGATTCTAAAAAAAATTAATTGAACAAAAACTCATCAGAGACGTTTTTCGTTTTTTTTCCTCAACAAAACTTGAAAAATCTCCTCAACTATGAATGTTAACAAAAAAAGTCATATGATCTTTTTTATAGCCCACAAAATTTCCTACAAAAATTCTCTGTAAGATTTTTCTCTAAATCCTCTAGTTTCCGAGATATCCCGTATTTTCAAGACGGAAAAATCCACCTTTTTCCACAACGAATAATTGTAAATCAATTGAAGAAAATGAAATAAATTACCGGTGCCTTTTCCACCTTCCTGAAGCAATTATTGAGACTCAGATTATGTTTAACTGAATTTTTCCACCCGGTGGGTGTATTCCTGAATTAAGAAAAACGACGATGGAAACATTTATATTTTTTCCCCCCAATAAAACTTGAAAAATCTCCTCAACTATCAATCCTAACAAAAAAAGTCATAATATCTTTTTTATAGCCCGCAAAATTTCCTACAAAAATTTTCCGTAACATTTTTCTCTAAAATCACTAGATTTCGAGATATCCCGTATTTTCAAGAACGAAAAAACCCACCTTTTTCCACAACGAATAATTGTAAATCAATTGAAGAAAATGAAATAAATTACCGGTGCCTTTTCCACCTTCCTGAAGCACTTATTGAGACTCAGATTATGTCTAACTGAATTTTTCCACCCGGTGGGTGCATTCCTGAAGTAAGGAAAATGATCGAGTATCCAGGCATAGACTTCCTTGACTGGTAGTGCCTTGACTGGACTGTCCTCGATAGCCATGAATATCAGACACGAGAATGAGTACGGTGGTTTGCTATTTCTATGCAAATGTGGATCGTAGGGTATGTGGGTTGGATGCTTATTGCGATTCGACACCGGTAGATTATTATTATTCAACGATATCTTGGCTTGATTGCTCGGCTGAGGTGGATACGTCAATTTTCCAGATTCTGAGTACAACTGCACTGTTTTCTCGTAGTTCTTCACTGGACTGGGATAGCTCTGGCTCTTTCCGTTCATTGGAGCCTTTCCATTGCTCTCTGCATTCATTAACCAAACAATTAATCAATTCATTATGATACAAAACAATTAACAAAACAATAACTTGATTAACTACAAAACGATTTAAGTCGATTTTGACTATTGCCCAGTTTTCAATGAATATCTCGAAATCTAGGGGAGCTACGAAAATTTTTGTCATGACCTTTTTTGTAGCTCTCAATCCGTTCTACAAAAAAGGTCATTACAAAAAATTTGTTATCTCCCTTAGATTCGGAGATATTCCTCGAAAACTCAGCCAAGGGCTAACTCGACTCGAACCGTTTTACAAAACAGTTCAATTGTTTGAATAAAAAATTATGAAAAATCACCTGGATAATATCCATCATCCAAACTCGACACAGAATTCGTGTTCTCCGACAACTCCGCACTCTCCCCGTCACAAACATTATTATTATTATTATTATTATTATTTAAAATATTTTCGTCCTTGATAACTTTGCTGGGGCTCGATATTTCGAGTCCCTTCAGCAGATTTTGCTGATGTAGCCATGCTAACGAGGTAAGATCATCATCCTGACTGTGTTTACCGGTGGGCACCCCCTCGCAGACCCCTTTAGCCCCGGAGGGATTGTTATCGTCAACGACAACATCCACGGTTGCCCCAGGGCTTCCCTCGCCAAATCCACTGGCGTTGTCACCCTCCTTGAGCGTCAATGCGGCCTCCCCAATGTCGAGGACACGCGTAACAGTCAGACCGCACGCGGTCTCCATCCCCGAACTGTCGGGCCTGTCGGGTGCCATTATTTGTATTTCTTACTTCAACTGTATTGAGTTTTAACGCCTTTGTGACACGCCACCGGTTGTACCGGTCTCTGGAATTGACAGAGAGATTGATCAGATATTTTATTCTGGACGGTTAATACTAGTGGAAAAATCGAATCCTGGGACTTGGGAAAATCATTACGATGAGATCATTGTTGAGGTTTTTTTCATTCGCGAACAGAAATAAAGTTTTAATTTTTTTATTTTGAAATTTAGTTTGTTTTCGTGGGATTTTTATGGGTTAATGACCACGGGAGCACGTGAAACCCGATTTAATTAAATACTACGGTCAATGAATCTATTCGAAAATTAAATTCTATGTAATGTTAAAATTTAGAAGAAGGAATGAGGATATTTTGGAGGATTCAAGGGAAATTGCGGTGAAAAGAAAAGCCCAATCCGGAAAATTGATCGAGTCTCATCATTATATTTAATTACAAACGCGGAAATTGGAGGCGGTGAAAATATTTTCATTGAGAACTCAAAATAAAAAATAAATTCAACCGAATTAACTTCATCCGTTCTCAGGACAAATTCCCATCAAAAATTTTGTTTTTAATGATTGTTAGCGATTTGATTTTTGTAATTTCGATTTTCTGACAAAAATGAAGTTTTTGGGTCAATTGTCAATTTCATTCGATGTCTTAATGAGATTTTTATGGGTTAATGGCCACAGTGGCATGTGAAATCCGTTTTTATTAAATTGAATGATTACAATAACTGTCTCTATCGGGAAGTTAAAGAATTAAAAATGGAATGAGGGTATATTTCGTGGGAATTAAAGGCAGCTGAGCGAAAAGGAAAAACACAATTCGGAATATTGATCGAGGCTCACCATGTTATTTAATTAAAAAGCCAGATGATGAAAATATTCTAATTATGAACTCAAAACAAAAAAAAATACACAGAATTAACCTCATCCGTTCTTAGAACCAATCCCCATCAAAAACATTCGCTTTAATGATCCTTACTGATTTGATTTTTGTAATTTCGATTTGTCGACAAAAATAAAGTTTTTGTGTCAATTGTCAATTTCATTCGATGGCTTAATGAGATTTTTATGGATTAATGACCACAGTGGCACATGAAACCCGTTTTTATTAGATACTACGGTCAATGGACCTATTCCAAAATGAAATCCTACATAATTAAAAAAAAATTGAAGAAGGAATGAGGATATTTTGTAGGAGCTAAAGGAAATTGAGGAGAAAAGAACAGCCTAATGCGGAATATTGATTGAGTCTCACTCACCATTTTATTTAACTAAAAACCTAGATAATCAAGACAACAGAATTAACCCCATCCGTTCTCAAAACAAATCCCCACCAAAACTTGTCTGATTCGATTTTTGTAATTTCCTTTTGCCGACAAAAATCAAGTATTTACGTTAATGTTCAATTTCGCTCGATATCTTAATGAGATTTTAATGGATGAATTACCACAAGGACACGAGAAACCGGTTGCAAATTAAATACTACAGTTAACGAAGCTATTCCAAAATTAGATCCCATGTAATATTAAAATTTGAAAAAAGGCGTGAGGATGAGAGATTCTAACAAGACCCCAATGTACAATATTAATCAAGTCTCATAGCCCTACTTAATTAAAACCCCAGTAATAAAAAAAACAAAAAAACATTCTCACTAAACCCCCAATTTTCATTTAAACCCCGGGGGGATTATCTTTCGAACGTGATCTTGTTCATTTTTTTTTATTTTGATAATTTGAAATTATCTCCAATTGCTATTCAGTTTTACACAGCCCTGGAGTATCCAAAAATTATGATTGTACAATCCAAAAAACGTTGAAAAAAAACTGAACATTTTCAAAGAGCATTTTTCAATAATATTGGGAAATAAACTCAATAGGGAGGAAATTGCAAATTAATAATTTGATGTATCTAATGGTTGTCAGATCGTTAGTTACCATGATAAATTATCCACTCACTATTTCTTCTCTATCGGACTTATTTCTCAATCTTCATTAAAAACGCTCTTTGAAAATGTTCAATTTTTTCTCTACTTTTTTGATTGTACAATCATAATTTTTAGGGACTCCTGCGTGATGTAGAATCCAACAGTTTTTCCATCTTGACATTTTCAAGATGGAAAAACAATCGAGATAACGTTCGAAAGAAAATCCTCGCGGGCCTTAAAAACATTTTCCCCAGGGCCATTTTGAACACTATTATGGGAGTTTTTCAATTACGATTTTGTTATAGAAAATGGGCATTATGAAGAGAAAGGAAAAGAGATTGGACAGGTGAAGCTTCGAAGAATATTATTCGTCCAATAATTTTTGTTTTTATTAGTTAACGAATTGTGGTAATAGTTCACAAGCCTCATTAATAACAATTAAATGGATTCACCTCTTCCATCAGTGAATACTGAACTACTAAAACAAATTATTGAAAAAACCTCTCGGGTTTTCCCAAAATCCAATGTGAGGATGGGAGAGTCAATTGTTTGTCGCTTGGGAAGAATTGAAATTATCCATTCACTATTTTCTCTCTGTCGGACTTATTTCTCAATCTTCATTAAAAACGCTCTTTGAAAATGTTCAATTTTTTTTCTACTTTTTTGATTGTACAATCATAATTTTTAGGGACTCCTGCGTGATGTAGAATCCAACAGTTTTTCCATCTTGACATTTTCAAGATGGAAAAACAATCGAGATAACGTTCGAAAGATAATCCCCCGGGGCTTTAAAAACATTTTCCCCAGGGCTATTTTGAACGCTATTATCCCACCGAATGAACTTCCCTCTAATGCAGAAAACCTCATGACAATCATCGCATCACCAATAATTCATGCAACCCATCGCGACTGATAACAC